AATAAGATATACTTGTAAAAAAAATTTTTGAAAAAAAAAAAAAAAAAAAAAAACACACACGTTCCGGGAAGCTAGGACACTATGATAAGGGTGGCCCAAGTGTCTGAAGACAAGGAAAACTTGTAATGTTTTTAGTTATCAAATAAAAAAATCAAAGCTTATAAATGTCTGATTTTTCTCAAAAAGTCTTCCAATGAGACGATAGGGGAACTGACTTTTTAGATGACACAGGATCTTTTCCTCCAATAACTATGCTGACTTAATGGGATATTATGAATGAAAAATGGGCTTATGTCATGAACCTTTACACTGATAAGCCTGTAAGTAGGGTCATGTTCAGTCTCTGAGTAATCGGGCAACCAACATTTCCAAAACTTAAGGAGATAATTGGTAACCTACAGCAAATCTTGTGCTAGATTTTGTCTTCTTTCATTTACATGTCCCTGGAAACATCTACAAAGCCCTTCCAGGGATGGCCTTGGCATGGCAAGACAGAGTATGGTGCATCCCTGCAGCATCAAGGATTATGTATATATTTTATATATATTATCTGGGGCCTTCACCACTAGTACTAGACTGTACAAGCTAAGAATAGCATGAAGGCTGCTCTAAAAAGCTACTCAGTTATGGAGTAACAACCTTTCTTAAGCTTCTCTTTTCTTCCACTTTCCACAAATGGCTGGTTGCCAGGGAGAAGGAAGAGACAGTAGAAGAAAAATTGTTGTTAGACTCAGGACTGGTTTGCTAGACTCAGGAGTTTTTTTTTGTAAGTTTCACAGAGCAGTATTTAAACTGACAGTGAAACAGCTGTAGATACTCATGTATATGCAGACTATATATATATATATATATAGTGTGTGTATATATATGCATGTGCACACATATATATGTACACACACAGGGTAGGATATATTCCTCTTTTTGTGCAAAATTTCACTCGTGTTACTGTTCTCGAACAGTAAGAATTTATTCACATCAACAGGAAAAACAAAAGAAAAAGGTCTTTAAAATATGGACAGTGAAGTCTGCAAAGGAGAATCACACACTTAAGAATTCTAGTAAATAGTCACAACTTTTCTTTCAGCGTCTTTAAGCACAAGATGAGATCACGGAACAAAACCACATCTCGAATGAGCAAAAAATAATACTTGAAAAAAAAAATCCTACACACATTAGGAGAACTGAATAACTGAAGTAGGTCAGATTTCCTGGTGGCCTTTTGGACACAAAGGCAGCCTGTTTCAGAAGGGTAATTCAGGTAATTACAGGCATAACATGCTTGCAGCCTCTCTGTTGCAGCGATATTGTCAACGCATTCCAGGGCACGATCGCACACGGCTGCCATCTCATGGTCTGGAAAACACTTCAAGGAGCCACCAAAATTCCAGTTAAGCCTCAACTGTCAGTTTGCCAAGGTCTGTACAGACAACAACCAACATGGTAAGCGGCAAATACAGCTCCTGCTGCAACCAGGGGTAAAACACAGGTGGTAGTAAAGGAGAACACGCAGGCCAGTTCCTTCAGTAACTTCAGGACTGCTTTGCCTGACAACAGTAAAAGTGAGTTTTAAAAAACACCAAATAAAAGCTGGCTGGTCCAGAGTTCCTTTCTGGTCTGCCTGGGGTCCATGAAAAGCCAGTAGAAAAATAGTCATAACGTGTCCAAATCAGGCTTAGGCACAACCATGCTGTACAGCATGTAGGAATACAGGGATTTTGTCTTTGCATTTTGACCAAAGGCTGCTGTCTCATGTGAAATCACAGACATTTGGGATAATTAAAGAGAGGAAAAGTATTTGAATCAGAGCAACCCAAATGCAGAAAATTGAATCCAAGGATTGACTTGAAAAGTTACAAATGCTGGGCTGAACATCCTATTACTTTTTTTTTTTTTTTTTTGATGTGCAGCAGAGAAAATTGTTATTTAAGCAGTGAGAGACGAGAAATAGTGGTTTTGAGTTCTGGAGGGATTTTAAAAACATGGATAAGATGCTTTTCTTAAAAGGCCTGAAGCTCTCAATGCGTCAGTTAATTAGAATAAAGCAACATCAGAAAGTGTTCCATGAGAACTGTATTCTCAATCAGATTTTTAAAGCAGCGGGAAGTATGAGTTAAAAAATGGGTCACATGAATTAGACCTATAGAGGCAATTGCTACTTTTAACTGAGTCACCTCTTTTGTACTTGATTTGCATATCAAAGAACTGACAGAACCTGGAAATTTGTTCCTTTGCTTTTAGTGGAATAGTCCCTAAAACAACACATAAAATCTACCATATTAGTTTAACCCAGCACTGTGTATTGACTGTATAAAAAACAACTTTGAAGTATTTTGTCATTTCTGCTTAATCTATACTGCTTGACACTTCCAGGCAAAAATGAAGATGGTTACATCATTTTCTACATATATCATAAGCACTGAGAGCGGGATCCTACACACACACACAAGTAGCAGTGTATTCTTATTTCTGCAGATTTAATTTTGTTCCCCATGGTTACACATGAAGTTTACAGAAGTTACTCCAAACGTGGCACCTAAATTAATATTTTTTTGTCTCTTGGAAATTAGAATATTTTGTCTCTTGCAACCAAACATACCATCACAGCTTTGGAATCACTACTCTTAGACACTGAGCCTGCCAATACAACAAAACATATTACTTTAATTCTAGAACTAACTTATTTCTGGAGCCAAAGGGAGAAATTTATAATCTCAAAAATCACACACAGAAAAACTGTATCATAGAAGTTTTTGAGGTAAAATTTGATCCCCAAACTTCCATACTTCTGATTTCAAAAAAAATCCTGCAACAGCTTGTGTGCACACCTACAGCCTAAACCCCTGTGACTGGTAAAATATCCTTTCAAGAGGCAAAATGACGAAAAAAAATGCCAAGAGATGAAGAAACTGTAAAGTAGGAGATCTTGGGATCAACTTGTATCTCAGTTTGCCACTTATGCCTTCAAAGGGTCATAACCTCGCAAGCACTCACTGCTTGACACCTCAGATTCCCCAGGAATTGTATGTCCCTATTAGAATTAACTATGCAATCACTGCTGCCAGTTTGACAACTATTGTGCAACAAAAGATAAAGAGGTGGCCCATACTCACCCCCGTGGGCAAACACACCCAGAAACACAAGGAAAATGTGCTGAGAAAGTGAGGTTTAGCAGCTGATTCTCACAAGTTCTCTCTCTACTGAGCTCAGGATCAGTTTGCGGATTACTGCAGTTGATATAAATCTGGCCAATTGGGCAGCTGTGTGCTGGGAAAGAGAAAAAAAAAAGAAAAAATTAGTCTTCAAAACTTAAATTTTGCATCTGATAGTCTAAATAATCTAGTTGCACAACCTAAGAACAGTGCCACACTATTGTCTGCTGCTCCTGATCACAACTAACTTGACAGAACCCCTAAAAGTCTGATATAAAATAGTGAAATGACTGTACTGGCTCAGTAAAGGACATTACTTTTTAAATATTTAGTCAGGAATTAGCCCTTCGAAACAGCAAAGGGAAGTACTACTAAAGGAGATAAACTTTTTTTACACTATTCCTGCTTTCTTTTGCTTCTTGAGTTAGTTTAAGACCTAGGATCTAAATATCATCCAACAAATAAAACAACTCTACAACAAAACTACTTTGGGGATGTGTTGAGCACACACTGTTCATGTGCAACAAAAATGCCCCAAGTGTTGGTGGAGTTCAAAAGTGTTTGTAGTTGTTTGGGTTTTTTTTATTTGCATTTTTATGGGGAGCATTTCTATACAGTTGCCAAACAGTACAACAATCACCTTAAAAGTGCTTGGGAATTGATTTCTGCTAAAAGCCAAAGAGATGGCAATTCTGGAATTGAAATGTCAAAATGAGAGAAAAAAAAATCTTTTGATCTTAAGTAAAAGTCACTAAATCTGGACCCTAATGCTTAACGACACACGAAAGAAAAAGAAAATAAGAAGTTATATTATTTATGTATCACAGAAGCAGTACCATTTTTTGGCATTTCAAAGTTATTCAGTGATTTGAACATTTTTGACATTTCAAAGTTATTCAGGGGTTTTGGAAGGACAAGAAGATGAGAAAAAATCACTGTCAGTGAAAAGTTCCTACAACCACGCTTGGTGGAACAAAATTATCCTTTTTTTACCCTCCTGAAGTTCTGAGGCTTATGTCATGTTAACTAAAATTGTTTGCATTAGCAATCTAGGAAACATTTTATAGCATCAAAAGAAAAGGGAGGTCACTCAGATGTAGCCGTGTTTCAAACAAACCTGCTGCTGTTTTTCATCTGCCCCGCTTTCAATCATACAAATGTAAAATTTCTAATTTTGGCTTTGCATCCTGCAAAATATTTGTTTGTACCGCTTGCACAATCTACTACTAAGAAGATATTCCACACAGATGAGAGGACATGTCTTCATGAAACTTTAAGCTTCTTTTCCCTTTGTCTCTTCACTCACCAATTATGTTGTTATCACAATTCATTACTCCATCCTTGCAGTGGCTGCAATAAAAATATGTAAGTAATCAGCACCACAAAAATCTGAAACCTTAGTTTTTGTTGACTGATTAATAATGATGCATTCAGTACAAATAAATATGAGAACTGTATAAATACATATGCATTATGTATGGTAACTAGAGAACGAGTAATTATTGCTTTAATGCATAAAGAGTATTAATTACATTTTAATCCTTTACTTTCTGTGTAAGGATCGTAAGTGTTTCTAATGAGAAAATGAGATAGAAAAAATATATTCTGTGCGTTTCCATCATGTTCCTCCACACATAGTCCTATGTCATTCCTCGTCTAACACTAAACACATGCTAATTCCAAAGATCTGACAGTCCTAACTTATGTGTTTCAAAGTCTTACTTCTCAATGGACTGGTATACAACCTTACTAAGATGTGCCCAGCAAAAATCACGACTAATTAGCAGATATAGATTTCTTATTTTATCTTTAAATGCAGTACCTGTTAACCATTAAACACTTTAAATACAAATGAGTTCAAAAATGTGGACCATCAATGATTTCTGAGTACTCAGAGCCAAGTAATTAAGCAGGCTATACTCTGGGGAAGAGGACAAAAGGATCAAGCCAAGCAATCTACACGGAGAAGCCTTCCTGTGACAGCCAGCACTGCGTGGCACAAGCTCTGCAAACACAAATATCTGGGAAGCCACCCAGCAGCACACCCAGACTTTGCAGATAAGCACAGAGGCCTCTTCCTGGTGTATGGGCTGATACCATCCAGGGCATCTGTCCTCAGGTAAAGATAAGGTAACGTGAACATTAGTGCACAGATTTATATTGATCAGTACTTACAGATGCTAGGTTACATGAAGCACATGTGTGTCATGTCCCCACTGCAACAGGAATCTGACAGTATTAACCACTTCTCTGGTCTTTACAAGAGACTAAAGCATTATACTAATTTATCACATAAATGATTTGGTCTGTTCAGCTTTAACTGCTGTAACAGCTGATACAGGGAAGGAGAGCTCCAATACCGCTTAAAAAGAAAAAAACATGTTGCATATAGTATTTTATCTTTTCCAAAGCTAAACCTTAGAAAGGATGTCATGAATGTAGTTATGCAAAAGAAAAAAAAATCTGGACAAAAACAAATGCTAAACACAACAGTAACAGAGACTCTTTGACCTTTGGTCAGAGTTTCCTTATTCCTGTTGTTTCTTCTTTCATAAAGCAGCATTGCTCCTTAACACTAAGCTGTATGGCTGGAAAACATATTTTATACAGCGGGTGAGCATGACAACAAAGGTCTTGTTAAACAGACCTGAAAGGACAGTAGTGAAAGGGGTGGTGTTTGCTGAGACTCTGCACATTAGTATGTACCTCCATAATAAGCGGTTTCTTTCTACTTGCATCTCAAAATATTGGATTATAATCACGGCAATCTGAAATGTATGTTTTACAGAAGCTCTGCCGAAAGATGCATAGAAGAAATAAAAAAATTGTAGATTTGTTCTCCATTTCAGAAAAAGAAAGAAGTTAGGAACAAAAAAAAATTAAAAAGCACAGGAAAAAAAAATCCATGCAACACAGCATTTATATAAAAACAGATAATGTAACTTACCATTTCCCCAATGATGTGATAATATTTTCTCCAGGTGGATAATCAATTCCTTGAAAATAACAAGGGCATTCACTTCTGGAAAAGAAAAAAATAGGTAACAAAGAGAACTGGATAGACGCTGATACACGTTGCCATGCAGGCCAAGTATATTCCAGGTAGAAGCAGTAACAAAACAGAAGCGGCACACAAAAACAGAGACCTTTTTTATTTCTCATATGCTAAAACCACACTAAGTATCAGCTAGCTTTGGCTACATCAGATGCATGCAGCTACCACAAAGAACTGTTTTTGATCAACATACAGTTCTGCACGATTCTAAAACCCAGCCAGGCCTCCAGAGGCATAATACTTATGGGTTACATGTTTATTCATTTTTCACACGGACTTGCAAGTACAGTGGCCTAGAACAGAGAGTGAGTGTATAAAAAAAACTCAGCTTCACTTACCTCTGTATACATCGTTCAGTCCTGGAATCCAAATACATTCCAGAGGGACAAGCACAGCCTTCAACACAATCACTGCTGCACGTCTCTGGCACCGACAGGGCCTGGCAGGTTCTGCCACAGGTAGATACACAAGTACTGTACTCCTTTGTGTCTTCACATGAAAGAGCTGTCCAAATGAAACACATCTCTCAAATTACAGTGCAAGAGACGCGGCTGCCTCCCAAAAGTTTTCTGATAAATCTCCCTATTCTTTCATTCCCAATTACATTAAATTCCACTAAAATTGCCATCTTGGCACTACGCTCTGTAAACTACACAGATGTAAACCCACAGTAATAATAAGTACAATGAAGCCAGCACAGTTAATCCAGATTTACACTGGGGACACCAAACACTTGGAGCTTTTTGTCTCCAGCTCTGAAAATGCTTGGCTCTTTCACATGGGCTTTGTGAAGCGTGCAGCGTCTGAAAGATGTGGGTGTATTTTTAATTCTGCATATATTTTAAATTCCCAAATTAACTTAAAAGAATATTTCCATTAGTTCTTAACTCGAAAGAAGCTAAAGAAAACTAACAGTAGAAACAATCCTCTGAAAAAACGTTGGTACCAATTCTTCCTTGGCAAGGAAGAATCTTGCCCTGTACACAGAAGATTGCACTAGGATTAATTCACTCCTCCTAATTAATACGTAACACCCATTTAAATTTAAATTTCTAATTCTTATTCCAAAGTCTTGAAGCAGGAATTAGTGAGAAGAGAAACGAAGGACAACTTACCACAGTCTGGGACACTTCCTCTGAAATCTATTACAACTCCAAATCTTCGGCAGTGATGAGCATAATGGGCCAGAGCAGAGCAAAAACAAACTTGTCCACATTTGCAAGTGTCTCTTCTGCACTGCTCAAAATAGGGAATGGGACTCAAATAGGGGTAGCAGGGAGCAAAGAGCTCTTTCGTAAGGATGCTACAAGCTTCCGCTGCATAAGAGGCTACACAAATAACAGATTAAACACTGTTTTAGTGGGGAGGTTTACAAAGAGTTGGCAGAGAAAGTGCAACTGATCACACAGTATATTTCAAGTGGGTACTCAAAGGGGATTTCAGGTATCAGAACAAATTTGTTAAGAGCACACTACATGGCTTGTTAGGCCTTGAAGTTGGCAAATACATAAGCATCCATTTTTTTCAGTGGGGAGGACTAGTTGTTATTTTTCCTGATCCATCTAGGAAAATGAGAAGTCATATGAAGAAACTCTTTCGTCAGTAAAAGAGCCTCAATGCCCACCTGCCTGTAGGTGAATGTCACAGGGGTCCATCTGCGAGTTGTCGTGGACAAGAATGCACGCAGATAAAGTTTTCCAGGAGCTTCCAAACAGCTGTGGGGTGCTTTCTGGTACTCCAACTGGAGATCTATTTTTAAAACAAAGAAGTCAGGCACCAAAAAAGTGAATTTACAGAATGTTCTATCACCTCCTCCATGGCAGCTGATACAAGCTTCCCTTTCATTGTATCATATCTTCAGGCACCCTTCCCTAAAGTATTAGGTGCCAGATTAAGGTTCAGGGCTCCTCTTTTTCTCTCCAGGCAGACACAGAAAAGAAGAATTATATGCTCTAGAGTCATTAGATACACTGTATGAAAGAAAGGGCCAAAACCCACCAAATTCTGTTTTCACAAGAGTGGGTAAGGGAGAAACATTGGTGTCCTGGAAATCTGCACTCTTTCTAGCCATACTTCTATCACCTAAATCATATCTGATCGAATTTAATCTCTCCTCTGCCTAAAATTCCCTGTCTGTTCCTGGACACCTCATTTCCCAGGTTCTCTAGTCCCTGGAAGAAAGAGTGCAGAAAAGCTGAAGCCCAGGGATACAACTGCATGAGCAATTGGCATCTCGGAGGCCCAAGCAACAGAGGTGCAGAAGTTGAAAGACAGACAGGATTCAATCAAAATAAGAAGGCACCTTAAGGTACAGGATGAATGATGGAAACTGTGCCTAAATACCGGCTGTTGCACTCTATGGAAAAGGCAGCATTAAGCATACAACCAGTAGTATTAGTTCTGCTGCAAGGAGAGGGGGAAGGGGTTAAAAAACGCACGACTGCATATGGAAACTCTCCCAAATCTAGTACAAAATAGGCAGTTTTGTATACATGTAGAGATGATGATGACATACCATATGTATCATATCTCTGCACAGTTCATAACTTACTGTAGTTTGAGGGCTATTCTCACAAATATCAACTATCCAGGCAAATTCTCAGTTATTTGAAAACAAGCCCAAAGGTTGTCATCAAAAAAACACTACAAAAACTTGCTTGATTCAAAAAAATATTATAAGTAGTTTTTGTACATAAATATTTTCTGCTACTTGAGATCTGGTCTGTACATTTCCTAACCCAATTATAACGGCATTGTTCTATGAATACCCTTTATCATTAGGAAATCATTCCAAAACTTAAGGATCTTTCTTTTTAAATCAGGAGCAATTTATTTTAGATTTTAATTTTAAAAACTCCAGTTGATTTGGAAAGACAGATGATCTCCAATTGCTTTTTTATTCCTGGTCACAGAAATATTCTTTCACACTCCAAATTCATGTTCTCCTTCTCCAAATTCCACTAGGCCGCTTCCTCTTCTGGAAGCCAGTTTGTGATTTAGCATATGGTACAAAGAAGCTGGGCAAAAAGATGTGAGCTCGACTGTGATGCTCAGGCAGCCCTAACTGCCCTTCACTGCATCACAGCAAAGTAGAGCTTGGGCAGCAGCCAATTCCTATTGCTGGCCAGCAGACACGGAACAGAGGAGGCTCTGTTAGCAAAACATGATTAGAAGTTGGAGCAGAAAACAGGAGAGATAAAAAGTGCGCAGGGAGATAGGAGATCCCTCGCACACGCTACCCCTTCATTCAGGCAAAACTGTTCAAAAAAACTAGTGCTTTGGCATCCCATCTATTCCACTGTATTGTTATATTAAGATAAACAAAATCTATTTTAAAACCATGTAATTGAGGTTGTGGATTTTCCATTAGCAAACTAAAACCTACTCTAGACAGCACTATCTCAAAACACTAAGATGAAACATGAAACATTCTTTTGGTAGTCATCTACTCAGCTCCAGCATATACTTTGGCTATGTTCTAACTGTAGATATATGTATATACAAATACAGAAATCTTGAAGCTATTCCTACAAAAAGTCATCCTCCGTATTTCCATTGAAGGTTCCACAAAGGCCCACGGTGTCATCCTTCCACCGGCCATCAACTTGAAGATAGAGCCTCAGTCCTTCTCTGTCATACAGTATCCGTAATCCAATGCGTGTCTTGACTTGAAGAAATACAGAGGACATTTTCCGTATTTCGAATATATCTGATAAGCAAGAACAGAGATGGTTGAAAGGCAAAGGAATATTACTTATAATTTTTACTTTATTTCTAGTCATTTTACTATTTTGTTGTATATGAATTTTAAATAAGTTCTTTCTTCACTCTATTCTAACCCTATTCTTCCAAAATAATCAATTTGTAAGAGTAAGAGACGTAAGACTCTGATTTAGACTCCAAAAAAGAAAACAAGAAACGCATGACAGTCACCAAAATTTTTAAATCAGCGACCATCGATTCATAAAAGTTAATAAAAAGCAAATCAATTTAAAGGTACAAATATTTCAGATCACTTGTTGTAGACAAAATCCTAAAAGAATCAATGTGTTTTCAGTATTAAAGCTCTTTTTAGGAAATTCCGAAAGAGTCGAGTCCTCCCAGAGATCAAATAAATGCATTTTTGCAAACCAAGCCCTCAGTAAAGCCGACACTGACTGTTGCAGAACAGTATCACATATTTGTATGTAGATACATATGGTAATACCTTTTGACAAAGAGATTTAAAATGCATGGAGACCAACAAACAAAATAAAATCACATACACACAAAAATGCAAAACTTGTCTGAAAATCTATAGTTTGTCTGTAAGTAGTAAAAGTGCCCCTTCCACTGACATGTACTTGAGTTGCTTAAAGAAAAAATAAAATAAAATAGAGAAAGAAGGGGAGAAAAGAAGTTATTCAGTCAAGAAACACCAGAGAAAATTTTTCCTCGGGAAAGAACCCATCAAACTAGTAAGTGTGAAAGATGGTATTTAGGGTTATTAGAGAGACATTAACCTAACAGACACTAGCATGATATAGCTACTGCACAATTATTAACATTGAAGGACAAGTTAAAAGAGCAATTGATTTGTGAAACATACTTCTTTAAAAATTAACAAGATTAATACTAACAATATATCATTAAACTCAGTATATTGCCAATACTGATAATATCACAACATATGTAGATGCCATTGAAATACTGTTTTAGTGCTCAACAGATATTAGAAATGTATATATTATTCCTTACCATCTGTATAAGGCAGGCTAATTTTGTACTGATCATATATTAAAACATCTCCTGAATGAGTCAGAGTCACTTGCCTCTTGGGGTCCTGTTTAAGAATAAGACTGACTGACTGGATACATGATCCATCTTGGTTCTGCAAGTAAGGGCAAAACAAGAAATACGCTTTAAGAAATATCCAAGTAGGCTGAATGGTAAATTAAGACTGCAAGTAAAATTATAATGAAGGGGAAACTTAAACATTCTCAGTTGCATGTAACTTCTTCACAAGGGGCTGTTGTAAAATATGCAGCTTTACAGTTTAGTTCACAACATAAAGATTTTGAATAATTTCACATATATGTTTAATTAGATTTGTAACATATTATGCAAATGCTGTTCAAAAGTGGGTTTTGGAAAAGTAAGTTTAAAGAGTTCTTATATTGCTTCGTACAAAGTCACCTGCAATTCATGAGACCCAGTGATCCAAAACTCACTATCACTGAGCTGATATTTCCAAATAAGGCTGCATTCTCCACACAGCAGAGCACAGAGGGGGAAAAAAAAAAAAAAAGGTACTTTTAACTCTCTTCAGCCTAAACTGTGTTGGTATATCTAAGTTCTTTTAAAACACAGAATTATTTTTAACACCAACAATAACAAAAGATAGAGGCTTCTTGTGAATCATTTTATGAAACAGTATTTAACTTTGTTACTTCCAAATGGAGTTGGAGTCACTCCCTGGATGAATGACAGATGAAAGAAAGACTGATGAAAAAAGCATGACAAAAGTAGCATAAAATAATCAGAGCATCCAGTGGCTTGACTTGCATACTCTTATCGCCAATTCAGCTCTACAGTTCAACCAAATAATGCAGGGAAACTACAGAAAGGAATACTGGCCTTCAGTCAACCGGACTAAAGCTCACTCTAGAAAAATCCTAGATCTACCTTACCTGCACCCGACCACTTAGTGGCACTCACTTGTCACCAGTACCGAAAGCAGCCAAGAGACTGGATTTTTTTTTTAAACACTGTGATTAGCAGATCTTTGTATCTAAATACAAAGTATTGAAAATCATGTTGCTATAGTTTCACAGCAGAGAAATTGCACTGCCTGCACAGGAAAAATTCCCAACAGCTTAAAGATCATAATTTAATCTTCATTAACTGATTTAATTAAAACTGAAATCAAATGAGGTAGAGGCATACTCTGTATCATGCTAGACTTTTTTTTAAAAGCATGATTCAATTTTGGGTACATTGTTTTCAGTTTTCTAAGGAACACTTTGGGGCCTATGCTAATATATAAATAGAAAATATTACTTAAACCTTCAGCCATTGTTTTTAACCCCAGAATGCAGCCAGAATACCTTCTGACCTAAAAGTACTGACAAGGAAGCAGTTGGATATCCATGTAACCAGTGGCTCATCAGCAACACTTTTCAAGGGTGGACTCAGCCAAGACATGAAGAATCTATGTGCCCACATTTTAACCAACTTTAGCACAAAGAAAGAAAGCCAGTGAACATACAGAGAAGCCTTCCAGACAGCTTAAAAAAATCCTAAAACAAGTCCTGAAAGAGCTTGGTATCTAAGTGAAGCC